TGCCGACAACAAAGTATCTACTAATATTTAGAGTCAAGTTACTGTTCAAGTTTTCTATTGTGTATTTGTACAAAGTTGTTTTCATGACTATTGGGTATTAGCACCATAGGTAAAGAAGATAAGTAAGTTTGCATTAATTAACTTAGTTAATAATTTCAAAATCCTAGCTTCAACATTACAGTATGCCCAAAACAATCAATATTCATGTGTTGAAGAACATACAGATATGATGTAGTCCATTCATATGAAAATTATATATAAAGGATATTGTAGATCCGAATTCTGTTTTCTTTAATGTAACATTTGTTAATTCTAACATTTGCATGTGCATGTTGTAGATTTCTAGTAGTGACATTTCTCATCATGTCAACAAATACTGATTATAACATTATGATTATGTCATCATAAACCCATTTCTTAATTTCCATTATACATACCGGTACCCGGAATTATGTGTATGTCATGCCGATAACTTGATGAACATGACACTGTAAACATTACTGTCATATTGTTACTGTTCTGGAATGAAAATGTAATGTTAATTCCTTAAGTGTTGAGAAACAGTCATTTTAAAAAAAATTCTGTTTCATGATTTACTTGTTGAACATGTTTATGGTGAATGTGGTATTTGGTGTCGTGTTATGCACGGGGTAATACTTGGCGGAGGCTATTTCATATGACTTCAATGTCTTGATACAGCTCTTTCAACTATGGAAAACATATAATTTGAACAGAATATTGACTTTTGGGTGTATTGATTAGAAATTAGAATCAATGATGCTATGTATCACAGCCATGCAATTGCAATGTTCCAGTGTTTTTGATTAATGATTGAATATTGTTTTGTGTTTCTCAAACTTCAGCATCATAGTCTACTTCATGTGGAGAATGTATCCTTGGAACAAAAGTAAGTGAAGGAGAGTGTGTTATTATTTAATAAATATCAATAAAGTTATTGTCACTTGGTCCATCCATGTTCTTATGTTGTACAATCACATGTCCTGTGCCACTGCTCATTGTAATCTTTTGATTCTATTGTGTTTCATAAATGTGTTTTAGAAATCACGCAAGAAGTTTCTGAAGTTGGACAAGGACACAGACAAGGGTACCCTGGGGTACCTGAAGAGGGTAGGCAACAGATCCAGTATCAATGGCAAAGTCAAAGATCTCTTTAAGGTAACAATCTAAAGCATAAGTTACGATCTTGGGGTGGGGCACATTAGACATTGGATAAAAGGGATTGTTACATGAAATATGCACACCTGGTTAATTTAATTCATTTATTGCCAACAAATTATTCAGTCTAAATTATTCAGCACAAAAGAATGTAATGTATTTACATTACGTAACAATATGTTTATGTTTTGCTCACTCTTCATTCTCTTGTAGATACTGGTAGATATATTGTGCATTGCAGAATCATTAAGCATGTTTCAACCCTGGTTAACAAGCTTATGCATGTTGCGTATGGCCTTTAATTATTACTGTTGTAATCATAGTCCATGAGCCAGACCGAATATGAGTATCAAAAAGCTGAACAGATCCAATGTGGATTTTCAGTTAGCATGATGTCTTAAGTGTTCAAAAAGCCCACCCGGACATTCAGGATCGGTAGCTTAATACCAATTTGGTGGCCATCTTTAAAATGGCCGCCACGCCCATTCAGAAATATACTAACCACCGGAAAAACTGAAATAACTCGCCACCAAGATGACCTATGAACATGCAATATGGCTTATTTTGTTCGTAACGAAATTCTGCACCAGACAGTATATAATAACTTGACTTTTGATTTTATAATCTGTTCCAAAATTCGGAGTTTTTCAAACATATGGGTATGCGTTGATGCTTTTTTTCACAAAGTTCTTTCAAATGTCAAGCCTGCTATACACACCAGCAAATGTATGTCCTAGATCACCTTGGGCAGCTCTCCAGGTGTGGATAAAATGTTTGGGGCAGTTATTTGACCCTTAAGTATAAGTGCAGACAATAAAATTTTGGTAATAATTTATTGCATTTGGCGCTTTCTGGAGTGGGTTATCACCACGAATCAGAGGAAATCAGTTAAACCATACCCAAAAAAGCCTTTATGCACAAATTGGCCTCTCTATCGAAAATGGGCTCTGCTGCTACTTGGGTAGGGTTTTGTGAATTGGAATTATAGTCTGTTTCTAATAATCAATCGACTGAAAGAAAAATGCTATTCCAGGTGACTTGTGGTTCAAAACATAAGTCCGCATTAGTCTTCATCACTATCTATGTCACTATCGTCACTCTCTTGGACTGGGTCGGTGTCATCTTCCGCTGTCATGTTGGCACAGTTCTGCAGTTTGCATGCTGGGGTGCAGGGTAATCCATTCTGGATACAGGTGCAACTGTCTTCAGCACAAACACGTGGACACTTGCAAGCCATCAGGGAGAGAACCATCTCAGGAGCCGGTGCTCCAGTTAACCACGATATTGCAATGTCTCCGTCACTCAGATGCCAGCCATGCCCTTCGGTTGGTTCAGGGAGGTCTACTGTGTTCTGAAGGCTGCGCCGCCATATAGCTGCCTGATAGTTAGCACGTTTAGTATGCTGTAGCAAGGCATCCTTACAAGGTGGAAGCTGCCCAGATGACAAATCACCCTTTTTGGCACAGAACATATCGTACCTCAGTTCATTCACCCCTTTGGCCTTTGTATTGCGACAGTACATGCTACAGGTGAACTCTTGTATGCCATCAAATAGATCATCTGAAACGGACCACTGCTGTCCAAGAAGCACAAACGTATCCCTGAACTGTTCATTCTTCCTGATCAAGTTAACGGCTTTTACCTTTCCCTTGCCCGCGAATGAGCTTACAGAATCACAGCCAGTCCAGGCATGGACACCTATTAGTGCCTCACAGACCTTCTTGCCTAGTGTGGTACCCAATTTGGAAATGTCAATCAGTCTAATCTGATTTTTCTTTCCTCTTCTCAATAGTATCCGTGTGCCAATTTCTGAATGCATCCCAAGGAGGATAACAAAAACATCCGTATCCTCTGAAATCACAATCACTGTAGGATAGTTTGCTGCGGCATGCTTGGCATGGACAACAAGTCGTGTATCGGCTTCTTCATGTCCAGTTGTAGCCAATTCTTCCACCTCTGTCACTTTATCCTGTGTAATCTGAAAGCATAGTCCTTCGGATGTTACCATTAACGTAGTGTTACCAAGAAGCTCTCTTTTCTTTTCGTCTTTCCAGCTATCCGCCAGAAACTTTGTCAGCTTAGTCTTGCTCTCGGTGCTGGCTAACAGACGTTTATAGTTCTTGATACGATGGCCAGGCTTGATTTGACTGAAGACAATCCCTTGAGTAGACCCGCGATTGATCCTTTCTGCAGTCTTTATCGACTGGTCCCTGTACATATCAAATACTACATCGATTCTCTCACTTCCTCGTCCGTCAGTAAGGATCTGTTTCAGTATTCGATCAGACAGTTCGTCAAATGTCAGTTGCTCCCCATGGACCTTTTGAACAATGCCCATGGCATCAACGATGGTTGCCCTTCGCCCGGTGGCCATGTCAGTGATTGCCATGTCCTTCTCAATATGCTTGCCTAATGATGATTTTCCTGTTTTCTTCAGTGTCCCATCACCATTGGCTAGTGCCCATGGCTTTTGACCAAGGGGATAACACATAACCTCTCGCATGTCCAGCTTTCTGTTCTGGGCAATAAGAAGCATGTGACCAAATGCCCGATTGTCTGCTTTCAGAACAATTTCTTTGTTTGTTCCTTTTACCACAGTGTCCTTTTTCATGTCGGGGAATGTCTTCAATTTCAACTTCTTTATGGGATCATAGAATCCCGACCCTTTTTCCAGCCGTTCCGCCTGCAGCTTGTATGCCTCCTCTCCCCTTTCTCGAGCTTTAATAATGTCACTGCATACATCAGGTGGTGCTGCTGCACCTGTGGAAATGCAGACTAGATCAATGGGCTCATTCCCAAAGGGGTTTATCCAACTGCTTTCAAGCAGTTCGACTATAGACTCCACATCAGCTTCGTCTCTGGTGATCCGCGAATTCTGCAAGTCAGCATGACCAAGCCCTGGACTCTGCAACGAGATGAGGTCTCTTAGCTGTCTCAGAGCATTTGCCCTATGCTCTGCCGTGAGATAGTAGCGAGACAGTGCACCCTGATTTAAGCTAAAGCCCTTTGTCCCACCGGGCGTCTGGGTGTCCTTATTAACAGTCTCTTCAAGGGTCTGGTCTACTGCAATTCTGCCAAATGGATTACTCTGTCGGAGCTGCACCGAGAATCCACCATCAAGAAAGTGCCGTTGTAGATCTGGGCAGGTTCTATCCAGTTCACTCATCTGCGCATAGTAAACCGGGAGATATCGTGCATAGTTCGTTTTGTCCATTGCGAAACACCAGGGTATCAAATCCCTGATGCTACTCAGATGCAAATGCCAGTCTCCGGTTCGGTCTGCACGAATCAAACCAAGTAGTATTTCTACCAGATCAATGTACAGCATCCAGTAGGCAGCCAACTGACCGTTCTCATGACGTAGACCATCCAAGAAAACTGCAAACAAGTCGAGGATCCTCTGACAGGATTCGTTATTCAAGGTAGATTCGAATGTTGTGAATACCCATATGTTTTGAAAAACTCCAAATTTTGGAACAAATTATAAATTCAAAAATAAAGTTGTTATATACTGTCTGGTGCAGAATTTTGTTGCGAACAAAATAAGCCATATTGCATGTTCATAGGTCATCTTGGTGGTGAGTTATTTGAGTTTTTCTGATGTTAGTATTCTTCTGAAAGGGCGTGGCGGCCATTTTAAAGATGGCCGCCAAAAGTGTATTAAGCTACCGATCCTGAATGTCCGGGTGGGCTTTTTGGACACTTAAGACATCATGCTAACTGAAAATCCACATCGGATCTGTTCAGCTTTTTGATACTCAAACCTGAAATTTTGAGGTCTGGCTCATGGACTATCAGTGGAAATCTGTCGTCAATTCAGGCACATGAACAATGTGTGGACACAGTTGGAACGTCTTACCTGCACACAGTCAGCCCCACAGAGCCACACAGACAACCTCACAGACAGCCACACATACAGCCACACAGACAACCCAACAGTCAGCCTCAAAGACAGCCCAATAGACAGCCCAATAGAGCCAGACAGACAACCCCATATACAGCCCCACAGACAGCCACACAGACAACCCAACAGTCAGCCTCAAAGACAGCCCCATAGACAGCCCAATAGAGCCAGACAGACAGCCACACAGACAACTTCACAGACAACCACACAGACAACTTCACAGACAGCCACACAGACAGCCACACAGTCAGCCACACAGACAACCTCACAGACAGCCACACAGACAACCTCACAGACAGCCACACAGACAACCTCACAGACAGACACACAGACAGCCACACAGACAGCCTCAAAGACAGCCCAATAGACAGCCCAATAGAGCCAAACAGACAACCCCACAGACAGCCACACAGACAGCCACACAGACAGCCACACAGAGCCACACAGACAGCCACACAGAGCCACACAGACAGCCACACAGAGCCACACAGACAGCCCCACAGAGCCCCACAGACAGCCCCACAGAGCCACACAGACAGCCCCACAAAGCCCCACAGAGCCACACAGACAACCTCACAGACAGCCACACAGACAACCTCACAGACAGCCACACGGACAGCCTCACAGACAGCCACACAGACAGCCACACAGACAACCTCACAGACAGCCACACAGACAGCCACACAGTCAGCCTCAAAGACAGCCCCATAGAGCCAGACAGACAACCCCATAGACAGCCACACAGACAGACAACCCCACAGAGCCACACAGACAGCCCCACAGAGCCACACAGACAGCTCCACGGAGCCACACAGACAACCCCACAGACAACCCCACAGACAGCCACACAGACAACCCCACAGAGCCACACAGACAGCCCCACAGAGCCACACAGACAGCTCCACAGAGCCACACAGACAGCTCCACAGAGCCACACAGACAACCCCACAGACAGCCACACAGACAACCCCACAGAGCCACACAGTCAGCCTCAAAGACACCCCTATAGAGCCAGACAGACAACCCCATAGACAGCCCCACAGAGCCACACAGACAACCCCACAGACAGCCACACAGACAGCCACACAGACAGCCCCACAGAGCCCCACAGACAGCCACACAGAGCCACACAGAGCCACACAGACAGCCCCACAGAGCCACACAGACACAGACACACGAGTTGATAGGGAGACCTGATGGATGAACATGAATTGATAGGGAGAGCTGATGGATGTACACAAGTTGATAGGGAGACCTGATGGATGAACATTAATTGATAGGGAGAGTTGATGGATGTACACTAATTGATAGGGAGACCTGATGGATGAACATGAATTGATAGGGAGAGTTGATGGATGTACACGAATTGATAGGGAGAGCTGATGGATGTACATGAAGTGATAGGGAGAGCTGATGGATGTACATGAATTGATAGGGAGAGCTGATGGATGTTCATGAATTGATAGGGAGAGCTGATGGATGTACATGAATTGATAGGGAGAGCTGATGTATGTACCCGAATTGATAGGGAGAGCTGATGGATGTACACAAACTAATACATTGTATGAATAGAAGCGATCAGCACAATTAAGCCATTGTCTTTCTTACTAAGATCATTTGTAGCAAAGGTATATATTATCCACAACAATCTCGCTCTTACACATTATTCCAGATGACATGAAACATGGACTAAACAGGTAAGTTATGTGCTTAAAAATAATTACTGATCAATACTCTTCAAATTTGTAGACAACTCCAACAACAGAGACTGTGGACATCATTGTAACTATCGGTGCAGTTGAAAACAAAGTCACACTACCAGTTGAGGAAAACAGACTGAAAGTCAAGATCTCCACCCCTGGAAATGTGTTTGTTGTCAGTACCACCACCCCGCAAGTGAAACGTGGTGTTTCCGTTAACATTCCTGGCCTGTTAACACCAGTCACAATTGTGAAAATGTGGCAATGCCAGATGGCCTCCACAACTGTTTCAAAACTTCATGATCAGGTATTTTCAAGTCCTTGCCATACAAGAGAAGGTAATATGTACCTAACAAACATATCATTGAAATATTCATGGTGGCATTTTGTCTCCTCACATTCTGCCTTGTCCAGATACATGACCGCATGTATTGACTACATCCTGAAGACAGAAATGATGCTGACACCCCGTCTGGCCGTGAAAGTCAGAGCATCATCATTTGTCAACCCAAGAGGACGAAAGGGGCACAACAGGGCTGCAGATATGTAAAAGGAAAAACAGTTGCTGGTCTTGAAGGATTTAATAAGAGGTCTGGGTGCAAACAAGACAGAGAAGCCTACTGTCAAGATCTCAAAGGCAGCCCCAGTCATTGAAGATATTGTCGAAAATCTCCTTCAGTTTACTGAGACAGCAGCTTTTCAAACACATCACCTTCAGAGATTTGTTACCAAAGATATTAATGAGATCCTCTCTGTCCTGGAAAGATACACCCCATGGAAAGTGACCCCGGTAGACAACTGTTGGGATTCTCAGGCCTTACCAAGTCACCATTCACCTTCCATGCAAGTCTGATGGCAACTGTAGCCAGGTTGACGCATGGTGTTATCACAGTTGCTGTTGATGATGACAATGAAAGACAAGAATAGCAGCATCCTGATAGGTCAGTGATATGATCATGTATATCATTGTAGATGTGACTGTAAAGTTGAGACTTTTTGTCAGGACTATAGAGTGGATTGTATCAAGAAGCATGGTTGTGTGATCAAGGTCCATTGGTCCACAGCATTGGCACCACTGAATGTGTCAATGCAAAGTTTGAAAACATTGAGAGGTCATCCAGTTGAGTGAGTGAGTAAGTTGGGTTTAACGCCGCTTTTAACAGTATTCCAGTTATATCACGGTGTGTCAGCTTAATGGGGGAGGTAAGCCCGAAGTGATGCAGGTCTCAGACGTTTACAACTTCGGTGAAACCCACAAGCACGGGTATGGTGCTGACAAACCTAGAAACATAATTGGGGTGAACCGGGATTCGAACCCACAATCATAGGTTTCTGGCGTGCCCAAGGGACGCAACTCTACACAGCGAATCACAGCGCCTTAGACGACTGGGCCACCCGTGCCCCCTCATCCAGTAGAGTGTTTGGTGAATTACAACGTGTCAGTGACACAACATGTAGCATCTTTTATTGGTCAAGAGTACAGGGCCCACATGCACAAAGTGATCTTAATTAGCACTAAGATGATCGTAACTCCCATACTTTAACATACGCTTAACATCGTCTAAGTGCTAAGAGGTGTTCCGTGATCTGCAGCCAACACAACATGCTTCAGAATCTCCACTGAACATTGAGGAATCCAAGCCGAAGTGTGACATCAGTTGATTTCTTAAACAGGATGTCTTGTATAAACAATAATTGACCATGTGTTCTCACATATCCTCACGATCTTTGGCAATGTCACTTTGGTTGTAGTACAAAATTGCACTTGATTCTTGTCTCTTTCTTCTTGCATGTCCTAGTTCCTGGAAGTATTTCTCCAGTGCCGTTGGCCGTTGAAAGTGTATCACATGTAAAGTACTTGGAGCATTCATCACTGGATAATCCAACAGATTGGATAACAATTATTCAGCAGTCGGTTGGATCCAATCATCCCACTTGTCAAACTTCATGTTGGGAGGACCAGCAGCAAGCTCCGTTATGACTTCCTCATGTTGGGAGGAGCAGCAGCAAGCTCTGTTATGAATTCTTCATGTTGGGAAGAGCAGCAGCAAGCTCCGTCATGGCTTCCTCATGTTGGGAAGAGCAGCAGCAAGCTCCGTCATTGCTTCCTCATGTTGGTAGTAGCAGCAGCAAGCTCCGTTATGGCTTCCTCATGTTGGGAAGAGCAGCAGCAAGCTCCGTCATGGCTTCCTCATGTTGGTAGTAGCAGCAGCAAGCTCCGTTATGGCTTCCTCATATTGGGAAGAGCAGCAGCAAGCTCTGTCATGGCTTCATCATGTTGGTAGTAGCAGCAGCAAGCTCTGTCATGGCTTCATCATGTTGGGAGGACCAGCAGCAAGCTCCGTTATGACTTCCTCATGTTGGGAGGAGCAGCAGCAAGCTCTGTTATGAATTCTTCATGTTGGGAAGAGCAGCAGCAAGCTCCGTCATGGCTTCCTCATGTTGGGAAGAGCAGCAGCAAGCTCCGTCATGGCTTCCTCATGTTGGTAGTAGCAGCAGCAAGCTCCGTTATGGCTTCCTCATATTGGGAAGAGCAGCAGCAAGCTCTGTCATGGCTTCATCATGTTGGGAAGAGCAGCAGCAAGCTCCGTTATGGCTTCCTCATGTTGGGAGGAGCAGCAGCAAGCTCTGTCATGGCTTCATCATGTTGGGAAGAGCAGCAGCAAGCTCCGTTATGGCTTCCTCATGTTGGGAAGAGCAGCAGCAAGCTCCGTTATGGCTTCCTCATGTTGGGAGGAGCAGCAGCAAGCTCTGTCATGACTTCCTCATGTTGGGAAGAGCAGCAGCAAGCTCAGTTATGGCTTCCTCATGTTGGGAAGAGCAGCAGCAAGCTCTGTTATGACTTCCTCATTTTGGGAAGAGCAGCAGCACGCTTTTAGCAATATTCCAGCAATATCATGGCGGGGGACACCAGAAATGGGCTTTACACATTGTACCCATGTCGGAAATCAAACCCGGGTCTTCGGCGTGACAAGCGAATGCTTTAACCACTAGGCTACCCGACCGCCCCCTCATGTTGGGAGGAGCAGCAGCAAGCTCCATCATGGCACCAGGTGTCGCAGTTGCTGTAAGTGCCAGACGCACAGCTTCAGGAAAGATGCAAACCACTATATATAGACATTATTAGTTGTGTTGTTTCTGTGTCATAAATATCATATATTACATAAAAGAAATTATCATAAAATGGGTAGGTTTCTTGGCAGGATAAAGCCAACGGATAAAAACGATATCCGTTGGGGTCATTTGCGTATAGAGATGCAAATATCAAAGGTCAAGTAGGGACTACTATCAGTGTTTATAAACAAACATGGCGTTGTCCTCGTCATTTGGCGATCGAGTCAGAATTAACCATCGAGAATCTGGATAAACTACAGGGATAATTGTTATCAATATCAAAAGAATATACTCTAATATACTGAAAATCAGTGTCTAAATGTGACGTAGCTAAGGCATTTTATAAGTTTTGGCAACTTTGGACATATAAATTTCAAAACAATTTTGCAAGGACACTAGGCCTAGCCAAGCAGGATCAGTAGCCATATCTGTGCTTGTAGACCTCTGAGGCTTGAAACCTTTTCCACAAATTAAAATATTTGAATTTGGCCAAAATATGTTTGAATTGTAACCGTGTTTCGTTTTGTTGCTGTGTGTACATCTGACTACACTTCATAATGCCATGAAAGGACAGGCCGACTGTCAACAACGTCTGAACGTGGCCGGGACGTCTCATAGACTAGGGTTAGAGTAGCTTCCCTTTGACAAAGGGCAGTTACTCTCCTGGACAGACCAATGGATTGCTACGAAAGGCAATTAAAAACAATTATTGTTTTGCGTATTTTCAGTTTCAGTTGGAACTATATTGGCTACTGTCACTGTCACATCACTTACCCTATGACGTAATAAATATTAATGCGTGCATTCCAGGAAAACTCGCAATGTTTCGGTAATGTTTGTGAGAGAGGGAAAACGATTTTGAAGCACAGAATTAAAGAATGACATTATATGATAAAGAGGTTATCACGCTTGTGTGTTTGGGAATAGTAAATAATCTGTATTAGGAATTAACACTATGTCTTTAGCTGGCTAAATACAATGTTTATTCCTAATGTAGGATATTTACCATCCCCAAACATACAAGTGTGATAACCTCAATGTCTTATGCGAGCCTTTGGCACAACCCGGGGTGGTGCTACGATCGAGCGAAGAAAAGTCAGTTTGAAAGGGCAAGGGTGAAAATGAGACTTTTATATAGGCCAGTGAACACTCTTGTTGGGGAAAATGACACAAACAGGGCTTAATGACAATTTTGATGAAAAGGATACTTTGGTTTC